GTGAGAGTGAAGAATTTATAAAAGTTGCGAGACACTGTGGAGAGCCCCAGCTGCAGCAGTGCATGGATCATGCGTAATATTCATCCAGCCAGAGGGAACGATCACAAGCCATTCACAGCGTGTCTGTCGTACTAGCAACACAACCCGCAGGCCTACTGGAGATGGAGTGGGCCGGTGGAGCATACAGGACCAGGGACAGGAGATTGCGTAGTGACCGGCCCGCTGTTGATGGTCGCTGATCGTTTCCTCTGGCTGGGTGAAGTCTGACGCTCCTGATTTTACACATTGGATCCATGATGATAGAGAAATATAGGAATTAATGGCAATAAAGCATACTGTCAATATTTTCGAGACCCCCCAAAATATCACAAATCATGCTTTTAGGGGAGCTGATGTCTTGTTAAGGGGAGCTAAGCTCACTCTGGCTCCCCCGTAGTTCGCACCTTGCCCTCAATGCTTATCTGTAGAAGCAGTGAGCAGCAGTCAGCACCCATTGATTGTTAATGAGGGATCCTCCACAGAAGTGGGACCCAGTTTTTGCAGACCTGCAGAGGCCACCTGTCCTCCAACAATCTTGTCATTGAGCACAGGCTGACCACACACTGAGGAGAGAGATTTTAAAGACAGAGTGAGTAATAGGGGGTTGACAGCAAATACTAACAATATTGAAATTATAAGCCAAACCGTTATGACCCAAAACATGTTTAAAATGACCCAAATGACAGGCGGACAGGATTGTATTTATAGTATTGTTAGGTCTCGTGCTATTTTGACTTAAAATATGTACATGGGTGGAAATTTGCGATCATCTGTAACATTTATAACTAAACTCATTCAAACACAAACATTAATAAGTGACACACCTTTAACCCTGTCTTCTCTCAGCTAACAGACTGCAAATCATTTTCTACTTACACCTAAGTTTGCAGTTTTTAATATCCCTCTAGAAATCACTGTGACTATGAAAAGCTTTAATTACCAAAATGTGCCACTAGAGGTCAAAGCTCATCCATAAATAGTAAATACACTTCACTACAGACAACAGGAAGTGCAGAGTGCCACATTGGCAGTCACTGCTGCTTGCTCTGCTGCTGTACAATGGCTGAAATAAAGAAAACAGCTTTACAAATGTTACTGTAGCTGGTTCACAAACAAAAGAAAAAGCAGCAAGTTTAACAGAATTATTTTATTCTAAACAAAGGGGCGTTAGATAGAAAGGTAAACACTCGGCTACATATTGTTGAGTGTAACAGCCGGCTGCCAGAAACCCCACAGTGGTTATAGCCAACTTGTATTAGTACTGCGATGGTGCGGTTCCATCTGGTTGGTCTGTCTAATGCTGGACCCAGTTTACTCACTCACTCATCGTCAACCGCTTGTCCTGTGTACAGGGTCACGGATCTTGGATTTTCATGACGATGATAATTCCATCAATTAAAGTCTGAAAATGACAAAGTAGCTGAATTTACGTCCAATATTGGGGAAAGTCAAGCCAGAGTCCTGCCACCTGCCATATCATCCAGGCCTTATGTTGGCAGCTCATGAGAATTCACGCATCAGGCGCGTCTCACTCTCTCTGACAAAATGTTTTTTCTTTTTCGCTTTCAGACTGAGTGAAGTATCTACAGTCTGTGGTACCACACAGTGTGAGCTGGCCATCCATCCACAGATGGACTTTAGCCTACTGTAGAGGCTGTATACAATAAAATCATCAGGGTTCCCATGCGTCCTGGAAAACCTTGAAAACAGTTCATCAGTTTTTCAGTCACGGAAAACACCTGGATAGTGAGAGAAAAAGAAGAATGTCATGGAAAATTATTCAAACAGTATGTGGTGGTTGCCCAGTTAAGTTGTGAACACACCCCCTGAGTCATGTCACATAGTAGCACCGGTTGACTACGGTTGGATGGCATTAATTCAAGTGACCAAACTTTCACTAATTTAACCCCTTGGTGCCTGAAGTTATTTGTGTTTTCATTTGCTTTTAAGCTGTTGTTATATTAAGTGAAGATTGTTAATTTGTCTATAGAACATAGAAAAGATATAAATTCAGGTTTGTGTAGGTATGATGCAAATTAGCGACAACAGGTATAAACGAGAAACCAGGGCTTGCAAAAGGTTCCTAGGTACGAATGGAATATGCACCCACAGGCATTGGGGGAATCCATGTGCTATCTTGGCTTGCAGTCTGAAAGGAAGAGGTGTGATGAGAATTTGCGACAATCGGCGTCAAGGGTTTAAGTTGCATTATCCTCCAAAGGTAAAAGTTAGTCTGCCAACTGGTAAGATTTGTAGTTTTTATTAGGTCAGTGTTTTCTTTTTAACTTGTTATTACCAGCTGAATAATGTTTACATGTTTGGTTCAGTTGCTGCAGATGACGTGTCTGCTAGCTTGATTTTCCTGCAAAGGTTTAAGGTTTGTGTTTCAACTCTGGCGAGGAGCAATTTCAGCTGTGTTTGGGTGAGAAAGTTGGATAAGAATGAAGCCGGGGTAAAAACAACCAGCTGCTGGATGTGCATCAAACGGAGTACTGGCTTATTTACTTTGCTAGCATCTCTTTTAACACAGTGTGTGTTACAATAAAATGGACCCTTTTCAGCCTTGAGTTATAATCTGAGTTTTGTGGGGGTCACTTGGGGAATGAGAACAAAACGAAAAGTTTTTAACAGTATTATGGATAAATATTCAATGTTGAAATATATCAGTGGGGGGGTCTGGGGGTCCTTCAACTTAATTTCCTGCATTCTGGAGACATTTTCTGCACCAACTTATGGTGGAAATGTTTATTTATATGAAGGGAAACAAAATTAAGGTGGCAGGTGACAATTCAAAATATATAAAATACAGTAGATTATAATGCAGCGATCAGCAGCTTGTTGTTTTAGCTTAAGTTAGTTTTTTAGATTCACATTTGTTTCTTCTATATTTCAACTGATTGGTTGGTTCACCAAAACTGACACTGACAAGCTACTTTCGGCACACTGCTGCTTGAAAGAGCCTCTTTTCTCCCTGCTCTCTCTCTGCCGACAGAGATTAGCAGGCAGGTGAGAACGGGGGCAGGTGAGCGTGACGTGGCGCCCAGAGAACCTGATATGGAGAGCGCAGAGGACTGTGGAAGGCCTACCGGTAGTTTGTGCCATATCGCAAGAAAAAGTCCCGGTACACCAAAGAGTAAAATGTTGAGGTGCGTACCGGCCGACTTTAAGCACTGAATACAACTGAATTCATGTTTGTTGTTTGTTTGTTCCGTCAAAACTGTACTGCGCACCATAGTGGCTGATGGCGGAGAAGTGCAGCCTTCCTGTCAATCATGCGGCGCGCAATGTGGCTTATTAGAAAAATATGTTAATTTTAGTCTTTTTAATGTAGCCTAAATAATAGTACTAATTACAATGAAAAACACATTATTTGTAATTCAAAATAATGGTTGTTGATAAATGATTTAGAGACCCCGTAGAAGAATGATTTTACTGAGCTCAGACCTCCTTATGTGAGCTGAGCTCCCATGTTGTGATTTTTTTTAGAGCATTACAGCCTAAATTGTTATCATTAATCACTAGAGCAATGGTGGTCTACATTTTCATGATTTAAAATGTTATTTTATAGTGTAAAGTTAGGATCACAGTGTTAAAACTCTATAGTTCTGAGTGTATGTGCTCCTTTCTGTATCTAACTGCCCAGACTCAGCAGTAGCACATGTGTGTGAGCAAGCACTGTGCTTTGGGAGCAAAGGGAGGGAGCATCAAAAACACTTGCAAAGGAAAATATACAAGCAGATTTTGTGAAAATTGTATTACAAAACATACATCAATATAGTGCATCACAGTAAGAATGTCCTGTTTCTAGCACAGAGCACAAACAACACCAGTTTATTCCACAAAAGTCAGGTTATGGATGAAATGCCATGATCAAGCAAAGTACACAGAGAGGAGGAGCAGGCAGTCAGGGACTTTCCCAGATTCAGGTGCAGTAGGAAAGAGAGCCAATAGATGATGTGAAGCCAAGAAACAGAGCTATAAAAGGAGGTCCAAAAGGAGGTGAAAGTCAGTCGTTACATGGTTTTCATGTCGACTCGGGTCTCTGTTCTGGTAACAGAATGGGGCTCTATTTTGCACCGATCTCTGACTTTTGTGTTCTAATTGGTGTCTGTTTTTGTTGATTATAAAAATGTTGGTAAAAGTTCAAGCTTTCTTATCTGGCCCAAGTCTTGAATTTTTACACGCCACCCACTGGCTCCCAACTAAGTCCAACCCTGTATACCACTCCCTGCTGATTTTAGTTTCTACACCCCTGCTTCTAACTTCTGTGTCTGTTTGCAAAATGAGTGAGTGAAATAAAACATGATACAACTAGTGTAAGTTAATTTGAGCATAGAGTACCAAAATGGTTGGTTTGAGCCTCCTAGCTTCACAGAGGTGTGTGGCATGGATAGGGTGACAAAATACTAGTAACTGACATGGATTTCTCAATAGCATTTTGCGCGAACATCAATCGTCCTCCCCGGTACCTCGTAATTCATGGCTTAACAGGTTTAATCACATAACTTTGTACAGCACTTTGTTCAACATTGGTGGTTTTTAAATGTGTTTTATAAACAAATTGACTTGTTACACTCAACTGTTCCCTGCAAAACAACGGCAGGTAGGAACCAAAATTAGCCTGCCCTTAGCTACACATATAATTGGGCTTAAAATTATAATGAAATTATTACTGAATGAACGTTCCACTAATAAAGTGGGGTAATACGTTAGAGGGGCCTCAGGAGAGAAGTCTGAGGACGGGCGGAACTTTGTGAGTTAAATATGAGTGAAAACATATAACAAATATTCAATTGTTTTTTTTTTGGAAAATATTCTAATGGTGTGAAACTCTGATAGCATGAATTTACAAACAGATTTTTGTGAATGTGGACATTTTATCTTTGTGTTCACATTTGATATATGAGTGTGTGTGTTTTCATATTCACTTCAGCAACTGTCGCAATAAATGTGAGCGTATCTTCGTTTGCTCAATTCTTTTTTATTTTGATACAAGCGTGGCTTCAAGAACACAACTTCAGCCTCCAAATGCAGTTGAATCAACACGTCTCTAAAACAGTTTTAACACAAACAGATTATAACCATCATGAAGGAGGATTTACTGCAGGACATTTGGATTAGACTGCATTAGTTGAGTTCATACATGTACTCAAAGCCGACAGAAAGGATTTCCCTTAATTAAAAACCAGGTTACTGTGATAAAAAAATCAAGAGGTTAATAGTTCAGCACTTTCACATCTACAGGTCAGTTGTTGCCACAGCAAAGCTTGACAAGACTTAAAATTGACATTATTATCAATATAAAGTTCAGTTTAAGTATTTTAGAGCATTAGCTGCTTATTAACTTTAGATATAATTGTACATTAAGGTACACTAGCTCAGATAGGTAGATGATGGACATGTGTTCCTCTGACCTCTAAAATATGCTCCTTAAGTTTTTAAATCCATTTGTTAACGACTGTAAGAAATTCCATGACAGCATTAGTTTAATTCTATCTGCAATGTAATCAATAAACACCATCCTGTTTTCAGTTATTTGAGGGGGAAGTTTTTTGTAAATGACAAATCATCATCTTGTATTTTGCATAACGTCTGGATCCTTCAAAAACCTTGACACGCTCGTATGCCAGGCTACATATACCTACATTTGTTTCGTGCTGCTTAAACAATTCATTTATTCATTTAACACCCTTCATTTTAGAGAGAAAGCAGATGAGGAATTGGAAGAAGAGGAAGGGGGAGTGAGCAGGAGCGCCCCCGCTGCTAGTTGGTATGTTGCCGGCAGCTATGATGTTGTTGCTGGTGGTGTTGGTGGAGTCTGAGCCAGGAAGGTGGCGTTGTTGATTGTTTCCAACTAACAACACTGCTGCCTGGAACCAAGAGCCGCTCTGCTCACCGCCAGATCACCCTGAACAAACAAACAGGACAGATGTGTTCAAGTCCAACTTTTGTGAAACGGAAAATAATCTTAACTTTTTCTAAATGTGCTGTACGATCAATATGTCATTTTGCCTTCTCATCAAGCTCTCTTGTGAGTGTGTAAAGTGAATAAGTATATTCCAGAGACGCCTTGAAATGTGCTCATTTTAAAGTGAGACTAGTCCAAACAAGCAATACAGTTTTTTAAGACACATGCCTTCAGTGTGGGAGGCTGTGACACATCCACCAATGTGTTCCTAAACAAGACACTTAATCCCTCGTTGTTCCTGAGGCGTACTACCTCTGACATATGTAGCAATTATAAGTTGCTGTGGATAAAAGCGTCAGCTAAATGAATGTAATGTCATATAATACTCTGAGTGTGGTTCATCAATGGTGATAAATGATTCAAACATCCTGCGAAGTGCACGCACAACTGTGCACAACACCGCAGCTGGTGCTCCAGCTCTCTTCCTCTTCTACCACACATGCTGCACCCACACATGCACACTCAAGGTTAGGGTAACAATTTTGCATTTATTCACACACTTTTATTAAGATTTGTATTATTATTTATTAATTTATTAAAAGTTGTTTTGTTTTTATATTATCTTAAACAGCATTATACGTTGATGTTTATATATGACCATAGGCCGTATATTAAGTTAGTGGGAGAAAACAAAATATGCCATTGAGCCCCCCCACATAACCAAAATGGCATGATCCTCATTTCACAATGCCACTGCGAAGATTCAACTGTGAGATTGGTAGTCGAATCAGGACTTCGAATCGACTTGGTCTCAGCCCCTAAAAGTCTTGGTCTTGACTTGGTCTCGGTTTGGGCGGTCTTGACTACAACACTAGTACCATGGGATCCAAAATTGTTTGATCCAAAAACCAGTCTGCTCTCAGTTAGACTTCACCTAGTTAGTGTGTTAATGTGCGAACAACTGTACCTCAGCCTGTATTCCATCCAAAATTGTGTTTTGAAGAAGAAAAATATATAATTTTATAGCTTTCTGAGGCGAAATGTAGAATAAAAATTGAAGTCTGGACATGGCAGGCACTTACATTAGTGCCTTGTGGCAGGCCAGGACAGGTGACACTGAGGTCGCCGTCCATCCCAGTGGACTTGAAGGTCTTGAAGCCTGGCTGGTTGCTGGTGATCTGCTTGTTGATCCAGGACCTATAACGGGACACTCTGGTGTAGACTGTTGGGAATGAGTCTCGGCACAGCCTACTGCAAAACTCACGATTCCCTCCTGGATCCAGCGGCCGCCCTGCTTGCTCTGCAGCGGACCTCCCGAATCCCCCTTTAAGGAAAGAAACATTTAAGAGAAGGAAGCTTTGCAGAAGCTCAAATCTGACACAAAAACAGATATAAAAGTGATCACCTGACAGGAGCCCTTCCCTCCTACCCCGGCGCAGATCATGTTGTCTGTGATGACGCCCACTCCGTAGCTACACTTACACTGTCTGTTCCCCACAATCGGCACCTGCACCTCCCTTAGGTCTTCTGAAAGAGGAAAGAATGCTGAAGAGACACAAATTCAGTTTAGTAATCAACACAAGGGGTGAAATATGTTTCAAAATGTTTGTACACAAAATGGATATTTCTATTTTATTACAGACTCCAGCCATCGCTAGTGGGTTTATCCCTCGCTCATAAGCGCAGTACTAATAGAGCTTTCTCCACGCCCAGCGACGTGATGAGCCTCACCCTGCCTATACATTGGGGTGAGACGTATAGTCAGCTTCCATTTTTCTTCAGGAGTCTGAAGAGCAGCTAAAGAGCTAAATGCAGAGTAGAAGAGGACAACGATGTTGGCTAGGAAGGACAGCCAGAACATCATCCGGGTTTATAAAGTGCACGTACTGTACATTTGTCTGCCAGTGTTATCATAAAGTGAATCTGATGTTATTGACCACTTTTTGACAGTACATGTAAACATCAGCTAATGTGCACATTTATTTTTTTTATTTTCAGTAAGAAAGATGAAATATAAAATGTAACTATGACAAAAATTTCCTTAAGATATGTCTTGTGTTTTAACAATACCTACTCAACAGCTTGACAATATAGACCAATTGTAGGGACACACACTCTCCAGCACATGTGTTATCGTGAGCATGTAAAACAGTCTCATAATTAATTTGTTGAAGAGGATAAATAAAAATATATCCACTTAAAGTGGGGATTAAACACACAACCCTTAGGCTGAGAGTCCTGTACTCTACCAACTGAACAGTCAAAGTCACTCTTAAATTATCCTAAAAGAAAACAAGCTTTGTATTAGAGTATCGTTTTGTTCTCCTGTATATCTCTATCGGACAGGTAAAGGAGAAACTACAAGTCAGTAGTCAGTAGTCAAGTAGTCAGACTCTGAAAATAAATGTAATCCAGGTGCTTTCTGACTCACTCCAATCTGCTTCTGCCCCAGCCGGTGACCCAGGCTTCAGTGCCGTTGTAGAAGGTGCTGCCTGGGGCTGCCAGGCAGACGGGCTGGATGTATTTGGTGAATTTCACCGGTGAGGAGAGCTTCAGGAGGCAGATGTCGTTGTAATAAGTTTTGGAATTATAGTCGGAATGAATGATGATCTTTGAGACTTTCCGAGACACCTGATTGGGGTTTGGTACCTCTAGACTCTGGAGACCCAGAACCACAGTCAGAGTGCTCGTGCTTATGTCTTCTCTGAGGTAATCAGAAGAGAAACAAAACAGTGCAAAGTCATGGAAAGCAGAACTTTAGTCAAGCAGGCACTTAGGTCCTTTTAAAACCACTTCTGGTCTAGTTTGTATAGAGCCTAATAGACGGAGAGATAACAGAAAGATATCACTCAGAAGAACTACTAATTTTTATCCTCATTATATTATAAATCATTCCTTCTACTAAGTTATTCATGGGCTTAATTAACTTTTTTATGACCTCAAGTCCTAATTACCTAATTTTCGTTTCAGTCTATACATATAGTCCATGTTAGTTGCATCTGTTGCAGCAGAGACCTCCATAAAACTAAAGATTCATTTACGTGACATGACGACTTGGGAGTGAGAATGGGTTGCATATACAGATATCTGTTAATAGAGAATAGGTTGAGGGAACAAATTAATCTCAGGAAGTCAGGGAGTCAGTGGTTTCAAATGTTGTCACATTTGTTATTATAAAAATATCAATTATAGCTTCTTTTAGTCAGAATATCAGTCTGGCCCCTGACTTGCTTGGAGGGGCTCTTGGGCCACTCACTTGTTAGTTGTTAAGCTACGTAGGACAAAAATTTAACCTAAAATGAAGCCAAAACTCTTCCTTAAGTGCCTATTTTCTTCTTCCCAACCTTGTTGGCTGGTGACCACTCATAATGAATCATTATCTGCTTCTACCCTTCATCACAGGTTGAAACAACACAGTTCTTCTTCTTGATTGATGATGAATGATAAAATAATTTAATTTATAGCAGAACAATTTTTGTTCTGTCCTGTCAATCATCTCAAGACCCCTCAGATTTATCATGCGACCCCTTGGAGAGATCCCAAACCCCACTTTGAGAACCACAGCCTCACACAGGCTGTTTATGCCACTGCATGGCATGTTGTTTTTTGTCGCGGCTCTACCATCAATGCTTACATTGCACAGCAGTGAGCAGCAGTCAGCACCCATTGATTGTTAATGAGGGATCCTCCACAGACGTGGGACCCAGAGCCTTGCAGACTGGCCTGCCAGGGCCAGCTGCCTGCAGAGGCCACCTCTCCTCCCACAATCTTAGTGTTGAGCGGAGGCTTACCGCACACTGAGGAGAGAGACAAAGACAGTGAGCAAATATTAACAATAGCTGTAGCTATGTAACTATTAACAACATGTTTATGTCCCAAAAGCATGTTTTCAATGTTTTAATGACAGACAGACAGACAGGAAGTAAAGAAGT